GGAGGAGGAGGAGGAGGAGGAGGAGGGGGAGGAGGAGGACGAAGAGGAGGAGGAGGAGGAGGAGGAGGAGGAGGAGGAGGAGGAGGAGGAGGAGGAGGAGGAGGAGGAGGAGGAGGAGGAGAGGGGGGAGGAGAAGGAGTAGGAGGAGGAGGAGGAGGACCGAACGCTCCTGCACGAGCTTCCAAGCCTCCTCGACGGGCCGCTCGAGCCGGTCGAGGGCCTTGACCACCTTGTTGAACCTGGCCGGGCCCGACCCACATGCTCCAACCCTTTGCGTCGTCCCTTCGGCATCGTATTTTCAGTACGTAACCGCTGGCACCATCTTCTGATCGATGCCCCTCCTCTTCCTCGCAACTGCTATCCTCGTCCTCCTGTTCCACGTTGTATTGCCATTGCGACCCATATGCAGACCCTTGTTTGTAGCGGTACACATTTTCACTCCGCCACCTAGCAGGCCGATGGTGGCACTGTCGAGGGGGGCCATCCTACCCATCCAGAACAAGACAAAGTCAACACGTGTACCTTCTGTTGGCGTCCACGTTACAAAATGCGTGGCAGGAGTCGGACATGGCGCGCTTAGTGCGCGAAAAAACAAAAAGTTGCTCCCGTCGCAGAGCTGCGCTGAATTGCCCCGTGAACTGAGCTCCCGCTTGTTCGCCAAATGGTCCGACTCAGGTCCGCGCGCGAAGGAGCAAGGCGTCGTTCTCAAGCAAGCGCAGCGCATGTCGCCCCAGGCGCCTGCTTTCGATCGCCAAGCTTGTGGGAAACTGGGCCGCACGCCGACGGGCGGAATGCTTCCTTCGTCTCAGGCCCCAGATGACCTCTGAAGGTGTCCTTCTCGCTTGGGCGCGGCTCACATGCTTCGGTCGCCCAGTGGTTGGAGGCAGGAGCGCGCACGCGAGCGCCTTCCGCGTCCGCTGAGGGGGGGCGCGCGAGCGGGTCCCGGCGCCCCATCGCGTCAGCATGTATCACTGCTTGATGGGAGAGAGGGTGGGGGTGGGGGGGGGGGCTTGTTGGCTCTTGAGAGCTGGCTAGCTTAATCCATCCGACGACTCCTGCTCATACTCCTACTCGTTCTCGTTCTCCCCTTTGTTCCCCCCCCCTCCTGCCTGGACACCTGCTCCCTGGTGCTCCTCCATCCTCCTCGTCCCCTAGCTTATCCTTTTTATTCCTCCTCCAAAAGGCTCTCCAAACTTGTAAGTGTTTGCTTCTCCTCATCCGACACGTCCTCCTCCCCCTCCTCTCTTCCCCCACTAATCCCCCCCTTCCTGATCCCCCCCTCTCCCCATCCCTTCCTTCCGCCCGACTCCTTCTCCTCCTCCTCCTCCTCCTCCTCCTCCTCCTCACACTCCTCCTGCTCCTCCTCCTCCTCACCCTCCTCCTCCTCCTCGTCCTCAACATCATCATCAGCATCATCATCACCATCACAACACCACCAGCACCATCATCGCCAACATCAACAACCACAGTAACAACAGCAACAACAACAACGAAAACATCAGCACCAACAACAGCAACAACAACAACAGCAACAACAACAACAACAACATCATCATCGTCATCATCAGCAGCATCAACGTCATCATCATCAAAATCAGCATCAACAGCAACATCATCATCATCATCATCATCATCATCATCATCATCATCATCATCATCATCATCATCATCATCATCATCATCGTCATCTACAGCATCCTCGTCAGCATCAGCAGCATCATGATCAGCATCAGCATCATAATCAGTAGCATAATCAGCATCTGCAGCATCAGCAGCATCATCATCATCAGCGTCAGAGTCATCATCAGCATCATCATCAGCATCGTCATTATCATGATGATGGTGATAATAACCACCATCATCAGCAGCATCATCAATTCCATCATCAGCATCATCAGCAGCAGAATCATCATCAGCAGCATCATCGGTATCAGCATTATCATGGACCTTACAATCATAATGTGAGAATCGGCATCGCCATCATGATCATCAGTAACATCAGTATGGTCTTCAGTAACAGCATCATCAGCATGATCGTCATCATCAGCAGCATCATCGCCATCTGTATCAACAAGATCATTATCGTCATCAGCGTCATCAGCATCATCATGATCATCATCATCAGCATCCCAGCACCATCACAATCATCATCGCCACCAGCATCATCCGCATCATTCGCATCAGAATCACCATCAGCATCATCAGCATCAGTGTCGTAATCATCAGCATCATCAGCATCGTCATCGTCATCGACGTCGTCATCATCGGCATCAGCGTCATCAGCATGATCAGCATCATCATCATCAACAGCAGCGTCATCAGCATCATCACCAGTTTCATCAGCAGCAGCATCATCATAACAGCATATGCATCATATGCATCATCTGCATCAGCATCATCGTCAGCAGCATCGTCAGCATCATCATCGTCATCAGCATCACCATCATCATCATCACCATCATCATCATCATCATCATCATCATCATCATCATCATCATCATCATCATCGTCGTCGTCATCATCCTCCTCCTCCCCCTCCTGCTCCACCACCTCCTCCCCCTCCGCCCCCTCCTCCTCCTCCTCATCCTCCTCCTCCGCCTCATCCTCCTCCTCGTCATCATCGTCATCAGCATATCCTCCTCATCCTCCTCCTCCGCCTCCTCCTCCTCCGCCTCATCATCATCAGCATCAGCATCATCATCATCATCATCATCATCACCATCATCATCATCATCAACATCATCATCATCATCATCATCATCATCATCATCATCATCATCATTGTCATCGTCAGCATCAGCATCAGCATCACCATCATCATCATCATCATCAACATCAGCATCAGCGTCAGCATCGTCATCATCAGCATCAATATCAGTATCATCAATATCATCTAAGGTCATCATCATCATCAGCAGCATCATCGTCATCATCAGTATCAGCAGCATGACCTCATCTTCCTCCTCATTCTACGTCTCATCGCGATCAGCATCATCGTCAGCATCAACAGCCTCATAATCAGCATCAGCATCATCATCAGCAGCACCAGCAGCATACGCATCGTCATCATCATCATCCTTATCATCCGCATCATCAGCATCATCCGTATCATCATCAGCCTCATCACCATCATCCGCATCATCATCAACAACATCATCATCATCAGTACCATCATCTCTACCATCCTCATCAGCAGCATCAGTATCCTCATCGGCAGCATCATCATCATCATCATCATCATCATCTTCAGTTTCCTCCTCAACGTCCTCCTCATCCTCCTCCGCCTCCTCCCCTGGTCGACTCGCTCCTTGCACTCGTCGTTCTCCTTCCCTTGGTCTGAATTGCTCGCTCTGGGGCTCGTAGCTGCGCCGCCCATGCGCCACTCGATCGGCAAGTTTAAATGCTGATGTGCAGACCGCATTCGGGGGGTGGGGTGCAAATATGGAAGGAGGAAGGGGATATGGAAGATGAAGGAGGGACGAAGAGCAGCAGCAGAAAGATGAGCAGGTGTGCAACGCGTTCCATCCGACTGCGTCCGCGAGCTCGCTGTCTGGTGTCTACGCTTCTACCCCTGTTGTTTTTTTTTTTATACCCTGTGGCCACAAAGCGACTCCGTCCGTGAGCGCACAGAACAGTCGACGCATTGTGGACCATAAGAATCGACACAGCTACGCATGCCAATCATGGTCCACCACAGACGCCATCATCACAGTCACCATCGTCATCCTCATCCACACCATCGCCATCACGAGCATCACCAACATCATCACGGCCACCACCACCCACCATCGACATCACCATGTTCGTCATCGTCAGCATCACGATCATCAGCATCATCATCAGCAGCACCACCATCAACAACATCACTATCATCACCATCAGAATCATCATCATCATCATCATCATCAGCAGCAGCATCATCATCACCATCGTCATCATCATCAACATCATCATCCTCATCATCCTCATCATCATCATCATCATCGTCGTCATCGTCATCGACACCATCAGCATCATCATCAGCATCGTCGTCATCGTCATTGTCATCATGAGCATCGCCGTCGTCAGTATCAGCATAATCGTCAACCTCTTCATCATCGCCACACCCATCAAGAGCATCATCTTCACCACCATCATCATCACATTAGGCATAAAAAAGAATCATCAACACCCACATCATCATATGTATCATCATCTGTATCATCCTCATCAGCAGCATCATTATCGTCATCAGCATCATCAGCATCATCAGCATCAGCATCGGTAATCATCATCACCAGTTTCATCAGCAGCAGCATCAGCATCATGATCAGGATCATCATCAACATCATCGTTTTCGTCGCAGATGCAACCATAATCGTCAGCTTCATCTCATCATCATCAGCAGCAGCATCATCATCTTCATCATCATCATTACCATTTTCATCATTATCAGCAGCAGCATCGGCATCATCAGCATCATCATTGTTACCATCCTCATAGCCATGAGCATAAACATCATCAGCATCATCATTGTCATCATCATGATCATCATCGTCGGCACCATCATCAGCATCATCATCATCATCCGCGTCCTCATCATCATCATCATCAGCAGCAGCACCATCATAATCATCACCAGCGGCGGCGGCGTCATTGCGACCATCCTCATCATCAGCGTCCTCCTCATCCGCTCCACCATCATCAATTACGTCATCGCCATCACCATCACCACCACCATCATCATGATCAGCATCATCATCATCCTTATCATCATCAGCATCATCATCATCATCAGCATCATCATCATCATCGTCATCATCATCATCGTCATCATCATCATCATCATCATCATCATCATCATCACCATCATCATCATCATCATCATCATCATCATCTTCTTCATCATCACTCTTCTCATCCCCACCCCTATCCCCATCCCCATCCCCTCTTCTCTCCAGAGAAGAGAGGCAGAACACCCGCCACCGGCCCCCCTTCCCCCCTTTCCAGGGCGCGGGAGCATGGTCATCATGGCGGCCCTGTCCGCATTCTGTGCGGCCCCGCCCTTGTCGCCGCTCGCCAGCTGGGCCCTCGCCTCGGCGACCGTCCTGCGCCGCCGCGGGGGGAGAAGCGGGCAGGGGAGGGCGCGGTGAGGGTCTCACACAGGGGAGGGCACGGGGAGCGGGAGGACACGAGGGGGGGCGAAGGGGACGAGAGGGGTCGGATGCCAGGGCAGGGGAAGGCGGAGACGGGAGGGCGGGAGGGGGGCACTTCTGGATCTCGGGGTTGGCTGGACACGCACCGCGGGGTCTGCGCACAGCCCAGACACAAAGAAGCACCACAGCAGCACCACGGCGCAACAAGGTGACAACGACAACGAATGACAGAGGCGACGACGATTGATGGCAAAAGGCGACGTGGGCTTGCGAACGCCGAGCACGAGACGGCCGGTCCTCACGACCGCGCTGATGCTCTCGGCGTCCTGCATGTCCACCTTCAACTCCTCCAGGAAGTCCTTCAGCGGGAACCCGCCGGAGCCTCTGGATCGATGCGATGCCTGGGAGCAGGTGGCCGCAAGAAGGAAGGGGGGGGCATGGGGTCGAGGCGCAGCACCGGGGGCATACTGCGACAGTCCCTCGACCCCCCTTCTGCCCCTCCCTCCGTCAGCATCCCTCTCCCTCCCCATCCCCCTCCTCATCCCCGCACCCCCCCCCCCGCCTGGGCTGCATTGCCCCCTCCCGCCTCTCGCTCATAATTGCATCCCTGGTCCTTATCATCAAACGCACCCCCACTCCCCCGCTCCATTGGCCGACAGCCCTAAACCACACGGTCCCCCCAGATCCCCAACACTGGCAAAAACATTGGGAAGTGTAGATTGCGAAGTTATTTGACAAGTTTGGGCAACCATTGGCTATTGATGGGGAGTGCAGGGGGGGGGCTCATACGCAAATCAGCTGCGGGTGCACACACCACACACCATGCTGACCACTCCGCCGCCACTTCGCATCTGGTCTAGACGGGGCACGCGGGAAGTCGGCGCATTGTCTGGTGTGCTCTGTCGCGTGCATGGGCAAGCCTGGCGCACTCTGCGCGCGTCGCGCCCCTGGCGCAGCTGGAGCACGTGGCGCACGTGGCGCGTCTATGGCACCAAGCACGTTGTGGCAACTGGGCGCACCCAGCGCACATGCGTGCGCGTGACGCACCTACAACATCCCGCGAGCAGCGTGGCGCCCCTAGCGTATGGATTGGCTCCCAGTGGCTGCCTGTCCGCCAGTGTTGAGTCTCTGCCTCTACCTCTGTGGAAAGGAGGGCTTGCGCGAACGAGACAGCTTGTGTCGCTCCTGTTGGGAAATTTGTCCTTCCCCGTTTCGCTCCCCTCCCTCTCTCTGCTCCCCCCCGGCCCTCTCTCCTATCTTCCCTGTAACTTCCATCCGCCCCTCTACTCCCCCGCCGCCCTCCCCTCATTCCCTCCTCCCTCTCCTCTGTTGACCCCCCCCCTCCCCCCCCCACGATGACTCATCATGGGCACCGGCACCCCTTCTTCCCCAGCGGCGTCCAACTGGTCAGGCGCGCCTTCGACGCAGTAATTTGTTTTCACGCAAACACACCTACACAAAGAAACAGACACGCACACACACACACACACACACACACGCACGCACGCACGCACGCACGCACGCACGCACGCACGCACGCACACGCACACGCACACTCACACACACACACACACACACACACACAACAAACATGCACACACATACACACACATACACACACGCACATACACACACACACACAAACAAACGCACACATACATACACACACACAAACGGGAGTTCAACGAGTCACAGTTTATCCTGTGTTTTTCACTCGGAGCGCCTTCGGTCGCTCCGAAGGACTATCTCGCCTCAGCGCCTGTCAGACTCGAGCCCTCCACCTTGCCAGACATGATGCTCCCCCGTCCCCCCCGACGACGTTCCGGTGTCCATGCGCCCCTGCAGCGCCAGGGTCGCCGCCACGTCGACCAGACACAGACCCACCGCACAGGCGTTTGCCGAGACGGGTGCGAACTGACGCACGAGGACAAGAAAGGGCTGCTGCTGACGACGGAGGGCCCCGCCCAAAAGGCACCGCGCCCCTGCCGGAGGCTCCTCCCGGAAGGCGGGGGAGAAGGCGCCGGTTCCTGAATGTTGCTGTAGACCTCCTTGCACTCCCCGGCGTCGATGTCCAGCTTCTGGCAGACGGCGCGCCTCCCCTTCCCCCGCCGCGAGCACGGCCGCACGGGGCATCGGCCACACGGGGCACGGGGAAGATCCAAACGGGGCGTCGGCGTGGCCCGGCCATTGGGAGACCGCGCCCACACGTAGGAGTTCCTGGACGCAGAAGCGAAAGGCATACGGGAGCAAACCACGAGCCCCACCCATCGTCTCCTGTTCATTGTGTTCCATCCGACCAGCGTGGCATTGCTCTGACACTTTACGCGTATGCATCTTCGATGAGCAACATGTGCGGTGCAACCTGTGCATGGTGCAAGCTGCGTGTTGCAACCTATGCGTTGCAACCCACGTGGTCCTACATATGTTGCGCAATCTGGTGGTGCCATCACGCTTGGACCTGATGAGATCGTCAACTCAAATGCTCGGGCAAACCTGCCCTCGCCCATCCACAACATGTTCGCAAAATTCATCTGGCGCAATGGCACGAGGACCCTTTCTCATGCAGATGGGTGACTCGGGCGGGTAGGTGAAGATGGGTGGCGACGACATCAGCGGCAGCGACGGCGACGGTAACGATGATGACACGGATGACGATTATGATGGTGGTGCACCCGATTACAAGAGCGACGGCAACAACGATGACAATGCCAATGATGATAACCACAGAAGTGGTGGTGACGACATACATGGTGATGGCGATGAAGATGGTGGTGATCATGACGGTGCCAAGCCTGGCGATGACGATGAAGATGATGATGGACATGATGATGACGAGAATGCTGATGATATTTCGTAGCGCCCGACCGGAGAAACAAAAAAAAAAAAAAAAAAATGTTGATGGCGAGCTAGTAGACGTCTGGATGCGGTTCAGCGCGGCGTGCATGGTGGATACCTTGATGGAGATCTGGTCTCGCATTGTTTTGATGATGATGTCCCCGTCACGAGGATTTCTTTTACTCGGCATCAGGACCAAACGAGCCTGCACAGCGTTGAAGAAAAAATATAGTCCGCCGCAGAAAGCCAAATCTCTCATTAGTCCCCGCTCTTGGGGCCACGTCTCGCGGGTGCTGACACAGGGGGGCTGCGTCGCGCTGCCACGAGACGCTTCGAGGAGGCATTTGTTCGTCAAACAAAAAAGATGACGGTGATGATGATGATGCTGATGATGATGGTGAGGAGAGAGAGCTTACACCCCTTCCTTCGTCCGGCCCCGCGCTCCCAAGCAGGCCCTGCACCGCGAGGCAACAGACACGAGGCCCCCAAGGGCCCCCGGCGAAGCACGGCAGCACCCGCACCCGCGCCGAAGTCTGGGGTCCCGCTCCCAGCCACGAGCCAGGCACGCGCACTACCAGTCAGTCAACGGGGCTAGAACATATGCACCACCATCACCTCCCTCGCCCCCTCCCTCTCCCACGAAAGAGGAGAGTCAGAGGGGCAGAGGAGGGAGGAGGAATCGAGGTGGTGGTGGCGTATACTCTCGGGACCCGCGCAGTCCTCGGGCCACGCTCGACTCGGGAAGGCCCCACTTCTCGCTGGCGGTGCACACTCGGGGAGGGGGGGCCAGCTGCCTCACCCCATCGGAGAAAGAAGAAGAGAGGGCGCAACCACCTTCCTGCCATCGCTCGGACGTCCACTCCCCGCGCATTATTCGGTTTTGTGCTCGAATTTCTCCCGCATGATGACCCAAGACGCTCCTCGATGGTCCTCGCCGAGAAAGAAAAACAAAAACAAAAAACGAAAACAAAACGCACGTCCGAGCGATGCCAAGACTTTTCGCTCATCTCTCGCGCGGGCGGCGCGCGAGGGGACGCCGCGGCATGTAGCTCGCACGGCATCGTTTGACTGAGTTGGTGGGTCCTCAATGAGCACCAGATGATTCCAACATGTGCGCCCGTGTGGCCCGCGTGGCTTCCCTTTCTATGAGTTCCGCAAGTGTTTCATTCGCGGCCATGACGGGCGTTATGGGGGGAGATGGGGGGGGGGACGGGAGGGGGCATAACGTAGCGCCCGCGGTGCACGCACTCAGGGGGGGAACGTTACGGTATGGGTGGGGGAGGGGGTGGGGGCATAACGCGCTTTATGGCCAAAAGCGTAGAGTTACGCTACTGAGGAACCTCACATACTTATTTCAAATCTTATGCGTTTGCTTATCATTACCATCTATGCGCAATGCCACGCCTACCGCGCCCTGCGAGCCTGCAACGGATAGGGAGACCACCCCCAGCGCACCCCCTGTGGTGTCGAGGAAATGGCCACGCCTGCCACGCCCTGCGAGCCTGCAACGGATAGGGAGACCACCCCCAGGGCACCCCCTGTGGTGTCGAGGAAGTGCCAAGCCCTGCCACGGGCACCCCCTGTGGTGTCGAGGAAGTGCCAAGCCTGCCACGCCCTGCGAGCCTGCAACGGATAGGAAGACCACCCCCAGCGCACCCCCTGCGGCGTCGAGGAAGTACAACGCCTGCCACGCTCTGCGAGCCTGCAACGGATAGGGAGACCAACCCCAGGGCACCCCCTGTGGTGTCGAGGAAGTGCCAAGCCTACAACGCCCTGCGAGCCTGCAACGGATAGGGAGACCACCCCCAGCGCACCCCCTGTGGTGTCGAGGAAGTGCCAAGCCTGCCACGCCCTGCGAGCCTGCAACGGATAGGGAGACCAACCCCAGGGCACCCCCTGTGGTGTCGAGGAAGTGCAACGCCTGCCACGCCATGCGAGCCTGCAACGGATAGGGAGACCACCCCCAGGGCACCCCCTGTGGTGTCGAGGAAGTGCCAAGCCTGCCACGCCCTGCGAGCCTGCAACGGATAGGAAGACCACCCCCAGCGCACCCCCTGTGGCGTCGAGGAAATGCAACGCCTGCCACGCCCTGCGAGCCTGGATGTGCATACGTCTTGAGTGTATGATGCAGTGAACACACCAGGCGTGCACTGGCGTTGTATGGTGTGTGTATGCGAGTGCGTGTGCATGCGAGGGGCTGTATGTACACGCGTGTCTCATGTACATGCCGTGCATATGTTGCGCGTGGGTGAGGGAGGAAGGAGGAGGAGGGGAGGTGAGTGAGACGCGGGTGCGACGCGGGTGGGAAGAAAACACGAACCCCAGTAAGCATGTGGGGAAAAAACTCTCAATGTTTTGACTTATGGTTCGACGTACTTTCCCGAGTCAGGCTTGCTGATAAAGGGTTCTTTCTTGATTCACGAAAAAAACGGGTTCCAATCCTTGGCCGACTGGCCTTCCTCGGCTTGCTTGGTTCTGTTGTTGACTGCCTTCCACGGGTTGCCTGCATTTATTTCTTGACTGCCCTCCTCGGGTTGCTTGGTCTTGCTTCTTGCCTGCCTTCCTGGGGTTGCCTGGTCGTGCTTGCTTCCTGCCGGCCTCGGGTTCCTTGATCTTGGTCCCCTTTTGGCTCTTTTGTCAGGCAGTGCCAGGCAATGGCAGACAGTGTCAAGCAATGCAAAGCAACGCCAAACAACGCCAAGTATTGCCAATCCATGCCGAGAAACGCCAAGCAGCACCAAGCAATGCCAAGCAAAGCAAGTTATGCAGAGCGATACTGTCCCAAGCAACGCAAAGCTAAGCAAAGCAATGCAAAGCGATGCAAAACCATGCGAAGAAACACTAGGCAACGCCAAGAAGTGCCAAGCACTGCCAAGCAATGCAAAGCATTGCCAAGCAATGCCAAGCAATGCCAACGAACAGCAAGCAATACCGTTGTTGCAAGCGTTCCCCTAATTGGGATCGCGCTGGGTTCATGGCATGTGTTTAATGAGAGCCCTCTCAGAATTGGTTGAACCAAAATTTGTTTCGCCCTGATTTTGACATACACGTGCAGGGGCGCGTGCGTGGCCCCCGCATGGTCTTTCTCGGCATGTGTTCATTGAATACTCACCTGTGAGATCAAAAAGAATGCACCGTATTGTATTATTTCATAGGGACGGGATCAACAAAGGCTCTGGCGTCCAAAACACGATCTGTTATTTGATATGAACGTTCGTGCAGACTAGTATGGAAAACAAGTGCGCGAAGGTAAAACCGCAAGTCCAGTCTCGGCATGAATAGAGTCCAAAATCCTGTCAGGGAGAAAGAATATATGGGGCGCAATGTCTGCGGTGGCCGTTAGCCGCATCCTGATGATCGGACGTTCGTTGCGCAATGACTGGGTAGGTGGCTGGCTGGCTACGCCATTGCAAGTACAGTCTAGCACAGGGTTGAGGGAACGTCCGACACGTAGGACACCTGGCTTTCTCTATGGGGACCAGTGGTAGGCCTATTCTTCTTGGCCAGGGTCTAGCACCGCTCAGAGTTCGTGAGAAATGGTGGCCCTCGCGCGAGACGCGTGAGCTCACAGAGCTGTGCTGGACGGTGCGTGCAAAGTCGGGAACAACGGCTGCACCTGCCCCGCTCTGACCACACGGCGGCGTCCACCAGGGCGTCCAGGGCCGCTGAAACGGCTTCAGATGGCCCCGACGGCTCGTCCTGCGCGTGGAGGTTCACCCGGACCATGTCGTCATCGCTGTCCTCCTCCTCAGGCATGTCCTTTGGGGCCAGCTGCACGCAAGAGAGTGCCTCCAGGAACGAGCGGCGCACTTCGAGCGCAAGGCTTGCCGATGGCCCCGTGCGTTGCGATGCTGGTGGCCCGCGTGCTGGGGTCTGCCCCTCTGACGCCCCTCCGCCTGCTCCTCCTCCTCCTCCTCCTCCTCCTCCTCCTCCTCCTCCTCCTCCTCCTCCTCCTCCTCCTCCTCCTCCTCCTCCCTCCCTCCCTCCTCCCTCCCTCCCTCCCTCCCTCCCTCCCTCCCTCCCTCCCTCCCTCCCTCCCCCCTCCTCCCTCCCTCCCTCCCTCCCTCCCTCCCCCTCCTCCTCGCCGCGCACCCAAGGTCAAACCCGGCGAAGGCCCACTCTTGCGTGCAGCGGCTCGGGCAGGAGCGCGATGGAGACTGAAACCGGCACGCCTGCCCGCGACAGCAGCGAGATCCCCCCCTCCCCGTCGCGACGTACGACACCGCCGTGCCTGGCCAGGGGCCCTCCTGGGACCCCCA